CCCCCCCGCCACCCTCCAAAGCCCACCACAGCCTCTGGGCCACAGCTGCAGGCGCTTAGCAGCCTTCTGAGTATTTATAGCCAAGTCCACCCCGCTCCCCCAGCTGGCTGCAATTACAGCCCGGCCAAACTCCCCGACCTTGCCTCCCTAGCAGTGGTAGGGGTAGACCAAGCCGGAGGCATAGGTAGGGGCACGGTGGGGAGAAGTTAGTAGAGCCTGAAGGGACAGGCCCCTGCCCTTGCCTCAAACTGCAGTAAATACCTCAAATTGCAACCGGGAGGTATAGTCATTAGGGTAACTTGGACCAGCCCTGATCCTGGCAGAAAGCAAAGAGCCACTGCTACTCTTAGCGCACAAACCGGCCAGACTTGGGCTCTAGATTCTAAGGCCTGGGCTGTGAGGTTTGGTTCTTAAGTCTGAATCTGGACTCAGGCCTAGACTTTGAGGTCATGGCTCTGGGCTCTGTGGCCTATATTTGGGCAGGGTATCCTGATCATTGGAGACCCCAGAAACAGGAATCAGAGCACAAAAGGACTGCATAGCTGCTGACCTAGTTACTCTCCTCGGCTCATTTCCTTCTTCCCCGTGTAGACCCACAGCTCCCAGCTCAGGAACCACTGGAGCTGAAGCCCTGTGTAAGCCCAACCGATGAAGCAGTGGCTAAGTCCAGGGCCCCCTGCCTGGGTATCTGTCACACCCACAGTATCCTCCATGCTGAATAAGCTAATGATGCCCTCACACGCACCTCTCCCAGGCTTCAGACCCACCTGCTCACTGGATATCTCTACCTGGGGACCCTGCAGGTAACTCAGATGCAGCATTCAAAACTGATTTCTGTTTTCTCACAAACCTGCTTCTCCTGTGCTCCTCATTAGGGCAATGATACCATCTTCACCCCGAGTCTTCCAATCCAGAAACCCAGGAGTCACCACCTGGCTCCTCTCTCTTCTCTAATCCCCACCATCCTGGAGACTTGACCTCTTGTGGCAGCCCAAATGCCCAAAGCTCATACCTTTGGCATCCTGCGCAAATTGGGTGAGAGTTTGAGGCAGGTGATGTGCCCACGGTCATCGCCCACAATGATGATGGGGTGGATGGGATTGAACTGCACGTGGGTGATCTTGTTCTTCTTTTTGGCCACCACAGGCTGGTTACAGATGGCCTCGTACTTGTTGATGGCCAGGTCAAACACGTGGGCCTATGGAGAGGTTGACCTCAGCACACTCAGGGGTAAGGAGGCCCCTGTTCCCCACCTCAGAGGATCCGGCCCCTGGACTTTCTGGGGAGACACTACAGAAGGCTAATGGCTAACACAGTGGAGCTGGAGGCAGTGGGAGGGAATGTTATGTCCTTGTTCATGTTCTTCCTGCATTTGAGGGAGTGAGAATAAAAATTTGAAGTTTATGCAGAATTAACAATAGTAGCAGCCACCATTTATTGAGCACTTGCTATGTGCTAGACTCTGGGCAGGCACGTTACATGGTTGCATCGTCTGATTATATTCCTCACAACCACTCTAAGTTCGTTCTGATTATCCTCATTTTATAACTGAGGAGTTAGAGGCTCTTAAAGGCTACCTTGCTAGTAAGTGGCAGAGCCAGGGTCTACACCAGTTAATATACATAAAGTGCTCAGACGGTGCTTGACATAGAAGCATTCAATAAGTGTTTGATGTTATCTTTACCACACCCTAAGTGCAAACCACTATCAACTCTTGCCTGGACAACCATGGTGGCCTCGTAACTGGTCTCTCTGCTTCCGCTCTTGCCCTTCTACAATCCATCCTCCATGCACCAGCCAGACTTACCTTTAAAAAATGCAAAATCCTCCCATGGCACTATAAATAGAATCCAGATTCCTTACTGTAGCCCACACCCCACTCTCATCTCATGCTCTCTCCCCTTTGCTCACCCCGCCCCAGTCACACTTGCCTGCCTGTTCCTTAAAGCCTTCAAGCTCATTCACCTCAGGATGTTGGCACCAGCTGTCCCCTCCGTGTGGAATGCCCACCCCTGCCCCCATCTTCACATGGCTGGCTCCTTGCTGTTCAGCTCCCAGCTTGACTATCACCTTTTCAAAGAAGCCTTTCCTGCCCACTCTATCTGAGAGACCACCAGTCCAGTTCTTTTTTTCTCTCTTTTTAATATAATGATGTTATTGAGATATAATTCATATACTATAAAGTTCACCCATTCAAAGTATACAATTCTTGGTTTTTAGTATATTCACAGTTACACAATCATTACCACAACCAACTTTATAACGTCTTCATCACCCCAAAAAAGAACCTTTGTACCTATCAGCAGCCACTCCTCTAGCCCTCGGCAACCACTAATCTACTTTCTGTCTCTATAGATTTCCCTGTTAGGACATATCTCATATTATACAATGTGTGGTCTTTTGTGATGGGCTTCTTACACAAAACATGTTTTCAAGGTTCATCCCTGCTCCAACATGTATCAGTACCTCATTCCTTGTCATTGCTGGATAATAATCCTTTTGGATATACCACATTTTGTTTACCTGTTCTCCATTTAATGAGCACTGGGGTGTTACACTCTTGACTATTATTAATAATGCTGCTATGAACATTTGTGTCCATTCATTACCCTCTTTTTTTTTTTTTTTTTTTCAGTAGCTGGCCGGTACAGGGATTGAACCCTGGACCTTGGAGTTCTCAGTACCACGCTCTAACCAACTAAGCTAACCAGCCAGCCCCCTTCCTCTTTGAATTCTCTGCCTAGCACTTAACACTATGAGAGTTTTGTTGTTTCTTTTTGTCTCCTTTCCTTCACTGGAATGTAAGCTCCATGAGAGCAGGCACCTGAATCACCAGGGCCTAGGCTGGAGCTGGATACCATAGTTGGCCCTTAGTAAACATCTGTTCAGCGAATAGATGACTGACTGACTTTAGGGTGATGCCTTAATCACTAGATTCTTTCTTTGGCACAGCAGATACTTCTCAGTTTATATCAAAGTTCACAGGAAAAATGGGTTTGCATCCAAGAATATGCTCACAAAATGTTTGTTTCTGAGCTTTCACCAAGTCTCAGTGTTGAATAGACCCCTCCCATCTCACCCCACTGAAGCCCCTTCTCAAAACCAGCTTGCACACTTCCAGGGATGGGGACCTTGCTACCCTACAGACACTATTTCAGTCACAGATCAACTCTGGCTCATAAGTTTTTCTTTACATGGAGCTGGCCCCTGCCACCCTCAAGCTCTTTCCACAGGAACCTCAGAGAAAATAACCACTCTATGGCATCTCATTCCCCAGAGTGCTTTCTCCTCCAAGGCAAACAGCCCTATTCCCTCCTGGAGGCCTCATGGGATGAATGATTCCTCTCCTGACTGAACACTAGATGGCCTGGCCCTTGAGAGGACACAGTCCTTATGTCCCACCTTCCCCTCCCTGACCTGGCCATGGGGTCGACTCTCCAGGAAGAAGACCTAAGCTACCTCCTCTTGCCTCCAGTAGGAGCTCAGCAGGCTCAGGAAGGGGCACTCACCTTCCCATCTGTGGTGACTGCGGCAAACACAGTAGAAGAGTATGGTGCCCAGGCCACATCGCCCACGGCTGAGTTCAGGTCATAGATGAACATTGGAGTCCTGCAGCGGGGGAGGGGTGCAAAGCCCATGACACAGAGGGCTTACAGTGCCAGAGCCCAGGGTAGGGCCCAGGACAGAGCCAGGGGCAGGCCCCTCACTTGATGGTGTGGTCCCAGATCTTCACTGTCCAGTCAGAGCTGCAGGACATGAAGACCTTGGTGTGGTATGGGTTCCAGGTCACAGCATCCACTGCCATATTGTGGGCATCGTAGGTGTCGAGGAATTGGCTGGAGTAGGATTTAGAGCACTGGGGCGGGTGTGGGGGTGGGGACAGGATCAAGGGTCAGGGGTGAGATCAGCAGCCATCACTTCCCTGAGGGCTCTGGGGGATCAGAACCTCAGACTCCTCTTCTGTCCTTACCCCACATCATTGTTACAGCTGAGCCAAGCTGCTGGCTGCTCTTCCCACCCTCAACACACCGAGAGAGAAGAGAGGCTTAAGGGACTGGGTGTTCAGAAGGGCAGCGGGCCTTCCTGGAGGGTGAGGGAAAGTGCCATAGTCTGCCAGCAGCCCAGACATTATCCTTGCAATAGTGATAAACATCCCACCTTCTCCAGGTAAGAGCAGGTGCAGCGCCAGGAACAGACTGGGACCTCCAGATTTCCCATTCAGTTTCTTGCCCTGACTAGCATGCCCCTCTCTCCTTCCCTGCAGGAGACAATGTGACTGCCTCATGTCTCCTTCCCTCTGGCCTCTCCTGGGCTGCCGTCAGCAGGTGTGGAGAGGGGTGGGGACCTCTTTTGCATTCAGACCAGCTCTGACTGGGCCTCAGAAGCTCCCGGGAGGCTGCCGGTAATTAACATGTTGAGTTTCTGAGCCTGAGAAAAGCTGTGGCAGAGCTATTTCTGGATGGATGGAGGTTCAGAAGGATGTTCACCTACTAACACTGAGACCTTGCAGAAACTGGCCATGAAGTACACTTAGTATTCAGAAAGAAATCTGCTTATTATCTGGCCTTCAAAGCTCAGCTCAAGTTCAAATCTCCTCCAGGAAGTCTTCACAGAATTTTTCCAGCTCCTCTACTCCACTCCCACCTCTACCTCCGCTCCCGGGAAGGGAGGGAGGGAGGGACCAGAGGGAAAGATGCTGGGCTAGGCTAAAATCACCCTCTAGATTCTCCATCCCCTTTCCTGTATTGACCCATCTCCCTGTCTCCCCCATTCCCTCCCCCAACCCCAGCCACTTCCAGCCACCCTAGCAGGTCAAGAAATGCATTCTCTTCCTCCAAGAAGCTTTCCAGATCTGATGAGCACTAAGATCTGTCAGAATAGGATCTGCTGAGAACTATGAGCTCCCCAGGTGCTCTAAGTGGCCCTGTAAGGAGGTGGCACAGGGGCAGCACTGCCTCACCTTGTAGATTTTTCCCTCCTCTGTGCCCACTAGGAACATGTAATCAATCTCTTTGTGGAAGTCAAAGGCGGTGCCACAGCCTTGGGAGAAGAGGGAGAAGCCTTAGCTCAGTTCTGAGAGGGAGGCTCCCAGCACCGCCCCCACTCAGCAAGGGGCTCAGCCAGGCACTCTCAGTACAGGACTTGGCACAGGACAGACTAAACCTGGGCCCCTGTAAGGGCTGGGACCAGGCCAAACAAACGGAAACTGGCCCTCTGGCCTAGGCAGTTACGACTTTGTAAACGACCAGGGGTTCTGCAGACAGGAGCGGGGCCTGGGTAAACAAGACAGGGATTGAGTTAAACAGGGTCAGGGTCAGGGTAAACAAGGACAGGGTCTGCAAACAGGGACATGGTCTATGCAAACAGGGATATGGTCTGCATAAACAGGGTTGGAATTGAGTAAACAGGGACAGGATTTGGGTAAACAGGGCCTGATCTGCATAAACAGGGCTGGATCTGCATAATAGCACCTGATCTGCATAAACAGGAACAGGGTCTGCAAACAGGGCCGGGACTTGCATAAATAGAGAGGGTCTGCAGACAGGGCCAGGCTCTCCCATTACCTCCTGCCTGGGAGAGTGCTCAGTTAGGGGGAGGGCCACAGTCACTGACCCTCAGGGGGCCTGAATGACCTGGCCAGGCCTGGAGGTGAGTGGGCTGGGGCTCCTACCCACTGTGTACAGCTGCAGCCCCTCAGGAACTTCCGTGGTGCTGCCTTCCACTTTCAGCTTGATGACATCTGTGTGAACCAGCTCGCTCTGCAGTCACAGAGAGATGGGGGTGGGCACATGGGTTGGGCTGGATCAGCAGGGCTGCAGGGCTTGGGGGAGCCTTTGCCACTCCACTCCCCTCATCCCTGTGTGACCCTCTCTGGGAAACAGTCACCTTCACAAGCGTCCAAGACACAATCCTGCCGTCAGATGACACAGAGAAGAAGTTAAGGTTGTTGTCCATGTCATCCTTCTGCCACTTGACCTGAAACATCCCAAATCATGAGCTCTGGGACCCTGCTAGGGCTATGAGTCAGGGCTTGTGAGCTGCACCCATTTGAGGATCAGAAGCAAGTTCTGGGAGCCCATTTCCCAGAATCCCACGATTGGTCCTCCCTCCTTTTTTCCACCCATCTCTGTCTCATCCCTCTTTCCCTGACCATCTGGGGGCAACAGTGCCAGTCAGGGCATTGCCCTAATCTACTGGCTTGGCAGTGGAGGTATCCAGTTCCTCCCTGGGTTGGGGTGTAGGAGCTTTGGGTCCAACCTCCTTACATAGACATGGCCTGGAAAGGACAGGGCCCATCAACCAGTTTCATTTGTAAAATAGGAGTCATAATAGCATAGGTTTTCTGTGAGGAATAAATGAGATAATATCTGTGAAGCTCTCAGGTGAGAACATCGCACATATTAAGTGTTCAAAAATTGTCAGCTAATGTTCTCATTGTTACCATCATCCTAGCAATCCGGGAGCCAAGGTTCTGCAGGGGCCTCTTCCTGCTTGCTTGGGGTGTGGGGAGGGGCAGCCTCGTCCCCTGCCCTCCTCTTCCAGGCTTGGCCTTTCTCTAGGAATTGTCTCCTCTGTCCCCACCTTCACTTCACAACTAGCTCCTGCTCCCAGAATCTTGCTCCCAAATCCCAGATTGGAGCTGCATTTCTCCATCTGCAAATTGGGGTTAATTATCCTGCCCCACCCGTCTTCTCTGGGCTGGAAGCAAACATATGGGAAAGTGTTTTGGAGACAAAGCTGTTGTCTTATGAAGATGACATGCTTAAGGCTCAAGATTCTGTTGCCAGATGTGGAGTCCTGGCCAAGCCATGTCCCAGAGAGCTGGGTGGGGCTGGGTGCCCGGAGATTTTCATCCTCCAGCTCCTTCCAGACCGCCCATGCTGAGGCCACTGTCCTGTCCCCTCCCCTGTCACAAGCAGAGGCCCAGTTAGAGAGGCCAAGAACCCAGCACCATTGCCTGTAACCACAGCTGTCACCATGGCTGTTGCAGGGTGGAAGGTGGGGGAAAGGGGTTGCCTCTCCCCCACCACCCCCCAGGCCTGGTGGATCAGAGCTGCAGGAGGGTCGCTGAGTCCTGCCTGCGCCTGTCTGGGCAGCTGCTCTTTCTCCACTTTCACTGGGGGCTTAGAATACCACCACAGCACCACAGAGCCTGTAAGCCCAAGTCAGCGTCGGCCCTGATATTGAGACCACTTCCCCTTCTGTGTAAAGGTGGTCCCTTTAGAGGGGGAAAGGGGCAGGGGTTGTCAAAGGCCAGGCTATAAGAGGCGCTAGGGAGCTGCAAAGGGAAGTGTTTAATGAGCAGACGCCAGCATGCATGGAAATTGTATTTCACACCCCACTTAGCAGCCTGATGCCCGACAGAGGTTGGTGTGTGTGTATTTGCAAGTGACTATGTATGTGTGTAAGTGTGTGTAAGTCACACAACATCTCCTGGGGTGGAGGTGGGAGGGTAGGAATAAAGCAGGAGAGGGAAAGTGGTAAGTGGGTTTAAGAGAATGAATGCCCAGGAACCAGGTGGCAGAGAGGAAATGGCGCCCGCTTAACTGGTCCCTTCTCTTCCACCTTATCTGACTAGAGCCAGCCAACTTGACCCCAGTCTCTACTTATTTACCCTTCCTGCTCCCTTCTCCAGAATTGCACAGTGTATGTACGTGTGTGTGTGTGCATGTGCGCGCAAACACACACACACACACACACACACACACACACACATACACATACACGTGTGTTGCTGGTTGAGTCTTCACAGTAAAGTCTGAACAGGGCTGGGCTACCCAGGCAGGCTCCCTGGGGAAGTAACCTGTGCCATGGGACAGGAGCCCAGTCTTATTAGAACAGACAGTTCTCTCCCTGGCTCTAAAACCTTCCCTGGCTCCCCATTGCCAACAGAACAAACTTTTGCCCCAGCCTGGCATTTGAACCAAAACAACCTCTTTGGCTTCCCCCAAATGCCTCTAACACAGTCTGTTTAAGAAGGACCCGGACTCTGATGTCTCTCACATCTCATTCACCAGCACGGTTCTCCCTCAAGGTTCAGTCTCATACAGCCAACTGCCTGTGGGACGCCTCCTTCTGGGTGTCCCTCAGGCTTCTTGCATTAACTTCTGGCCAAACCTGTTCCCGTTCTGCCATTTCCCACTGCTGCGGATGACCTACCAGGCACCCCAAACCTAGGCAGCGTCGATTCTCCCATTTGCCCATATCCAGTCAGTCCTTTCCTTCTATTCACTCTACTGCCTCTCAACCCTGTCTTCTGGTTTCTATCTCCACTGCCCCTGCCCCATATCAGCTTTCGTGGGTCCCCATGCTGCAGCCAGAGGACCTTTCCAACACACACACAAACACACACACGACTGTTTTTCCTGTGCCCCAAACCCTCCGATGGTTGGTCAGCGATTTTCAAACTGCTCAGGGGAATCTTAGGAGCCTTGTGAAGGTACCTCAGGGGGCAGGGGAATGATAATAAGGGGCCCTTAAGCAAGCAGGGCCCTGATCCTACCAGAGCAGCTCC